TTTTTTTTTTTTTTTTTTTTTTTTTTTTTTTTTTTTTGTACTGAGGATCCTCTGGTACCATTTTGAAAAAAATTAATCACATTAAAAAAAAATACCTCTGGGCTGGTTACTTAGAAGGTACTTGGACCTGTGGCCCAGTGTAGTGGCCTATTGCTTCACTTCCTAGCTCCTGAAGAGCTGGTATTGATCAGCTCATCTTGGTCCCTTCATCTCCCAGTTACTTCTTCCTCTTTGGCAAGACAGAGGGAGTCACGAGCACCCCAAAGGAGTTTTCCTCCTAGAAGCGGTTCTCACTTAAAGACCACCTCACACCCTAAGGTGGTCTCTTCTTTGTGTGAATGGCAAACTGAGTAGCAGTGCTGCAGCCCATCCTCTCCTCTCCCTGGAAAGCTTGTCTTCTTCCTTCTTCTCCTTCCCCTTTTTGAGACAGGGTCCTGCTGTTTTGCCCAGCTAGGTGACCTTGAATTCCTGGACTCGGGACCCTTCTGCCTCAGTCTCCCAAGTAGTGGAGACCACATGTGTGTGCCACTGCACCCAGCTTTCTCTTTTAACTGATGTGTTTATGTACAAGAATTGAACTGACCTGGCTGGGTTGGGTCCTGTGCCCACTACCCCTATTCCTACTTGTGTGAGGTGAGGAGGGCATCCTATGGAGGGAGACCACTTCCTGCTCCTCACAAAACTTCCAGCCACAGGTGTCTCTGGAAGAGGACTGGCCACCACTCAAGTCTGGAAGCTCCTGCTTCCGCACCATGAAGTAGGGGGTGCCCAGGCCCTTGAACTGCTCTGACGCCCTCTAGTGGGCCAAAGAATGTGCTTGTGTTCTAAATAATGTTAGGAAGATGGGGTGCGGAGATATTAGTGACAGCTTGGCAACATGGCGTTTTTCTTTCTCAGTACAACCAGCTCTACAGGCAGTAGCTGCGACACGGAGTTCACTAAGGAGGATGAGCAGAGGCTGAAGGATTATATCCAGCAGCTCAAGAATGACAGGGCAGCCGTCAAACTGACCATGCTGGAGCTGGAGAGCATCCACATCGATCCGCTCAGCTACGATGTCAAGCCCCGGGGTGACAGCCAGAGGCTGGACCTGGAGAATGCTGTGCTGATGCAGGAGCTGATGGCCATGAAGGTATGTTTGAGGGAAACGTTTGGTCTTCATGGCCAGCTTCAGAGGGAGACCTGACTGGCCAAAAAAAGCAGGGCCTGCAGGTGAGAAGTCAGCATGCAGGAGAACTAGAGCCTCGCTGTGGACAGTGATGGCCTCAGTCTGTCTGGGAGTCATTTGGGCAGGACATTCCTGGAGGTGTGGGAGGATGCCTCAGGGTGTCCAGCCCAGCTGCAGAGCATCTGGTTCTCCAAGAGAGAAGCCAGGCCAGACTTCTGCAGAATAGAACAAGCCTGAACTCACAAATGCCAGGGAGTAGTCAGAACACTGATACTAATGTTCACTGGTGACAAAGGGAGACCAGGAGGCCACCCGATAAATTTGGCTGGAAGCCCTAGACTCCGAGCACCCTGGTGCCTTGGGTACAGTGTGCTTAACCTAGTGAAGGTTGGCCATGCTGTTCCAGCCAGTGCTCCTGACAAGGTCTTTGGCTATGCGCCCACTGGCTGTGACTTACCAGCATTTTGGGAGTAGAGAGAGCTCTCTTGGAAAGCTGCTGCCCCTCATTGGCAAGCAGTTAAGCTCATCCTTTCAGTCTGATGCGGTGTATGTCTCAGCAGCCCCACAGCAGGGGTGGGAGCTTGCTTGGGGCTGCTCCTGCAGGTCCCGGTGTGCTGCCAGGCCCTGTTGAAGGTTTGAGTTGAGAGCTGGGGGCCATGTTTCCAGACCTGCTTTTCAAACTTCCCCGTCCTGTGAACAGAGGCCTGACCTGCAGTCTTGGAGTCCATTGTGTCCCTGGTCCCCAGTGGAGGCAGAGGGCCTTGCAGTGGTGCCCGGTTAACAGCTCATCCTGTTTCTCCACCATTGCATCCAGTACCATCCCCAGAAAGATGAAGAGACACACAGTTCTGGCAGCGTGGCTTCTGCGGAGGGTCAGGGCCATCCACTTTAGTCACCCTGTGCACTCGGGTGACCTTCTCAGCACATGCCTGGCCTTGGCTGAGATAGCCTGAGTCTGGGTGATGCCTGGGAAGGCTCTGGGCAGTGGAAGCACCTGTGGGACTACCTCCCTGCTGCCCTGAGTTCCACGCTTGCTCATCCCCCTGCACTCACTGAGCTTGGGCTCCTCCTTCTGAGAGTCCCCATCCCTGGCCTATTTCTCCAGCTGCCCATGAGCCTGGCCTGGGCTCCATAATCACAGTGACTTTCTCCCCAGTCAGAACTGTGGCTTGAGTTGTGAGGCTGCTCTTCCATTATTTATTCCAAATATCATGTTTCCTTTGACCAATGACTGAGGCTTTCCTTTTTATGTACTGGCCAGTATGTGGTGTGACAAATTCAGTTATTCTGACCAGGAAAGACAATTTTTATGGAATAAAAGCACTAATTTTCCTTCTGCCACTTGAAAATAAATGTGCACTCCTTTTAGAAATGTTCTGAGGCAGTGAAAATTATGAATAGCTGAGAGGAAAGAACACATAACCTGGCCTGAGTTCTGGTATGCTTCTCTGCCTGGGGACTTTAAATTGGAAACACCAGTGCCGTCTCCTTTCCCCAGTGTGTTCACCGATGAGCTCTCACTTGAGCAGCTCCATTATCCACTAGATTCTGTTGGCTTTCACCATTTTGTTCTGGGCTCTGTCTGCTGAGAAACTCACATTTCTGGGTTTCCTATTTCTGGTGCATGGTCTTTGCTAAATACTTTTTCATTTTCTAGACAATCTGCTTGGTCCCCTCTCAAATCCACTCTTCTTAGTTGAATGTCTTGTTCTTTCATTAGGACTCCTCTTCCCTCCTCTCTTTAGCTATTTGAATATTCGTGTTCTGCTTTTCCATTCTGTTCCTTCCACTAGTGTGAGCCCTGGCTCTCACTTCTGTTGCAGCCAGTGCTTCTGCCTCAGTGGGCTCATTGCTGTCCCCTGCTGGGCTGGAGAATGTTCAGAGCTCATCTGCAGCAGAGACTGTCACAGGGGTACAGCTGTCCTTAGAGTGGCTGGGTATAGACGTCTTCCTGAGTGAGACCTGTGGGTTTCAGAGGTTTATTACTAAGTTTCAATGCATCCTTGGATTAGGATTCCTTCATCACACGAACATGTGACCCAAGTTTAAGGCTTTGATTCCTCAAAAGGGATTTTTCAGTCTCTCTTGCTCAAAGCCTGCGATATGACAAGTTTCCTTAAACATCGCCGGAAAAGAAATAGTCTCTTGTTCTGGGTAGTACTTAGAGAGTGCAGCTCATACAGGGGTCTCAGTGTGGCTCTGCCTCGGAGTTCCCAGTCCAGCCCAGTGGTGAGATGAGAAGAACCCAGATCACAAGAGCTGCAGACTGCTCTGATGGCTCTGTCCATTTTGCCTGTCTCCTCTGGCAGACTTGTCTTTTCATTTCTGGCACTCGTGGGTTTTTACCTTTCCTTCTTTCCAACTTGCTTGTTTTTTCTGGATTTGACCAACCACATAAGCTCAGCATGCAATGTTGCCAGAACCTTCAAAATCCTGCTTCTGATGGCAAAAGATGAGAAGCCTTCTTGGTATAAAAACACCTTTTATTCTAGTGCTTATGTCTGATCTTTAGTGGAAAATGGGTTGGCCCATTTTTCTGAGTGGCCCCTGGGCACAGTGACATCTTCTCCTTAGGGGGATAAGCTTTGGCCACTGGCTCCAGCTGTTGCCCACATTGGAGGTATCAACATCTACCCAGGAGAGCACAGCAGGCTGGCAGCTCATTGTCCTCAGAAGTAGCCAGGGCCAGTGACCTTGATGAGTCCATCTCAAAGTGGTGACTCAGCTTTCTGCAGAGCCCTTGAAGATCATCGGGACTGCTGGGGAGTCGTGACTGACAGACTCACCCTCCAGCAGAGGTGAACGGCCAGCATAACCTCCTTGAGAGGGAGGCATTGTTGCTGAGTGGTTATGAAGCTGGGTCAGACTGCACCTTCACAACCTACCCAGCAACCATGGGAAGGGAGATTTCCCTCTGCATGCCTCAGTTTGCCATTCACAAGTGGAAATACTCATAACACCTACCTTAGGAGTGGAGAATGAGTTACTTCCTGTGAACCCTTAGAGTAGTGACATATGCTCAATAAAGGTTGATGCTTGTTACTATTATGTGGCTCATAGTCCCAGGATTGTGTTGTTCCCTATTAGGCTCACTTCTCATTCTCCACAGAAAAGAAACATTCAAGTCCTTCGCTTTATTTTTGGAAGTTATGGACCTGGGGACATGGCTCAGTGAGAGATGTCATGCATAGCATGCACAGAGCCTCAGGTTTGATCCTGTCCTCCAAGTTGTCTGATGAATTGTCTCCTGTGAGGACGGTGTGTTACTAATTTCATTTGGGCCCTCAGAAATAAGGAAGAGTGAGAGGATGCTATTGTGGTGGGTCTTTCCACCTGCCTGGCTCAGATTCAGGGAAACAAAGGTTTCAAAAGGGTTGTTAAATATGTGGCTTGGATGTGGCTACAGCTATCTGATTCTTAGCAAAGGTGATAGAAACGTATGTTACTATCTCTGCAACAAATGATGCTAGGAAAATTGGCTATCCATAAATAGAAGATTAGAACTAGATCCTTGTCTCTCACCCTGTACAAACATCAATGCAAAGAGATCAAAGACCTAAATGTAAGACCTGAAACTTTGAAACTGCTAGAAGAAAACTTTGGCAAAACACTTCAAGATACAGACACTGGCAATGACTTCCTAAATAGGACTCCAGAAGCTTAGGAAACAAAAGGGGATTGCGTCTAATTAAGATGCTCCTGCACAGCAAAAGAAACGTGTAACAGAGCGAAGCACCGTCTACAGAATAGGACGAAATCTTTACCAGCTATTATTCTGACTGAGGAATATAATCAGAATGTATAAAGAATGTATAAAGAACTCAAAAAACATTAACACAGAAAAACAACCCAATCAACATATGGTCAAGTCAGGTGAACAGATACAGCTCAAAAGAAATACAAATGACCAACAATCATGTTGCGGGGGTGGGGGGGGAAGGGGTTCGATATCCTTTGCCTTCAGGGAAATCCAAGTCAAAACTATTTTGAGATTCAGTCTCACTCCAGTTAAGATGGCTGTCATCAAAAATACAAAACACAATACCAATGAGGATGCAGGAAGAAAGGAACCTTTTTACATTGCTGTTGGGAATGTAATTAGTGCAGCCACTATGGAAATCAGTGTGGAGTTTTCTTTTTAAAAAAACTCAAACTAGAACTACTATATTATCTACTACATTGCTTGTATTAGTCAGCTTTTCATTGCCAGGACAGGATATCTGACACTCACAACTTAGCAGAGGAGAGGTTTAATTTGGCATATGGCTTTAGAGGTTTCCGTCCATAGTCAGCTGGCCCCAGGGTAGGAACGTAATAGCAAAAAGGCTTGATGGAGTAGATTGGCTCACTTCACAGCATCCAGGAAAAGAGCACAGGGAACAGCTCCCCACAGTGACCCACCTGTAACTGGGCCCGGCCTCCTGCAGCACATTCACCGGTGAGCCTGAGCACAGAAGTCCACTGGTGAGCATAGCAGCCCAGGATCCAGTTATCTTTCCAAGAGTCTCTCAATTAGTCAAGTTGGCAGTCAAGATTAACTGGCATGCCACTCCTTGGTATATACCCAAAGGACTCTCCGTCAGCATGTTACAGAGGTAACTGCACGCCTGTGTTTATTGTGACTCAATTCAGTGTTACACACCGGAGGAGTAGTCAGCCAGAAAGAGGAATGTAGTCTCGTCATTTGCCGGAAAATGGCTGGAACTGCAGTTGTTAAGCAAAATAACCCAGACTTAAACGAGTGCTACGTGTGTTCTCTCTTACACAGACCCTAGGGGGAAAGGATGGCATGAAAGTAGGAGAGAGACTACAAGAAGGGAAGCAGGGAAGGATAATGGAGGTAGACTTCAAAGTATGTTATATGCATGCAGGTGTGAATGTGCCAAAATGAAACCCGTTTTTCTGTGTAATTAGTTACACTAATGAAAAATAGGTTTGTGGAAATTGAATGGGAAATGGTAGGGACCCACCCAGACCCACACCTCCATGCTTGGAGGATTCCTTTACAACCCCGGGTTGGTGCAGCTCATCAGCTCAGCCTCTACATGACAGAGATCAAGTTTCCAACGAGACAGATGTACCCATTTGGGGTCCTGACAACTGTTAGGTTTTCCTTAGACTGAACCAAACCGACTGCCTATAACTTCTACCCATTCATCTCAGTTCTGTTCCCAGAGTGAAAAGCAGATGGATTTGTTCACACAGCTGTGCTTCACAGTGCGGAAACAGCTGTCATCTTCTCCCAGTCCTCCTCCTCGTGGCTTTAGAGCAATCCCTTGGCTGTGGACCATGCCTCCAGGTCCCCTTTGCACAGGCCCTGGCCTCATGTGCTCTGTGCTTTTCCCTTGCAGGAGGAGATGGCGGAGCTGAAGGCGCAGCTGTACCTGCTGGAGAAGGAGAAGAAGGCCCTAGAGCTGAAGCTGAGCACGCGGGAGGCCCAGGAGCAGGCCTACCTGGTGCACATCGAGCACCTCAAGTCTGAGGTGGAGGAGCAGAAAGAGCAGCAGATGCGCTCCCTCAGCTCCACCAGCAGTGGCAGCAAAGACAAAGCTGGCAAGGTGAGGTGGGGCCCATCGGGGCCCACAAGCTGCACTTAGGCTCGTTTCCCACTGACCACACTGCACACCCTGCTGCCTCGCTTCCCTTGTTCGCATCGGCCATTCCTGGATATCAGGTGACGCCTGAGTGTAAAGAAACCAAACCTCACTTTACATAACACTTTAAAACTTCTCAGTCAGTCTTGCCATGTGGCCGTCCACTGCCGATAACTGCCTTGCCTCTTCCTTCTGACCTACTCCTTTCATACAGCAGCCATTATTTGTTGGTTTCTTGGTACTTTTATTTATGATCTCCCGTAAGTCCCCATCCATGAATGACGAATATTTATTCTGATCTACACAAGGAAAATGAGGCTCCAAAGAAGTGAGGAGCTCACAGCTTTTAAGAAAGTAGTACCTTAGGGCTGGTGACTTAGCTTATTGGCACCATGCCTGCCTCCAAAGTGCAAGGTCCTGAGTTAATCCCCAGTATTGGGGACAGGTGGTTTTTAAAAACCACCACCTCAGAGCTGGGCATGGTAGCACACTCGGGAGGTCAAGACAGGAGGATTGCTGAGTTCAAGGCCTGCCTGGGCTACAAAGTAAGTACAAGGCTACCCTGAACTAAGTAACAAGAGACCCTGTCTCAAAAAGACAAAAAACACAGCACCTCAGGCTTGGGCCCACAACCAGCTAACAGGCTCACTTCCTCTCCTGCTCGCTTTCAGCAGGAGCAGCCCCACAGCTGGGAGGAGGAAGGCAAGACTTGGATTACAAAGATGATGTCCTTACACAGTGGGCATCTGACATAGTTTTGCAAATTCTTGATGCCATCAGCTCCCAGGTCTTTTCCTAGAATTGAAGTTTATTCTGTCATTTTATATCTCTCTTCCAAATATCACAATGGGAAAAAGTCAAGCTCTGGACCCTAAAGACCTATACCCTGCAACCTGGGTCCTCTACATTCTGTGTATGCTTTTCTTCCTCCTGGTAGTACCAGCTTCTCCTGAACCCCGTTTGTTTGAGACCCAGAACGTGTGTTATGTGCTCACTTGCTGCATGAATGGCTGCTCGAAGCCCATGTACAGGAAAGCGTCCAGGAGAGCTGTGCCCACAGGAAGGAAGGAACAGTGCCTGTGCTGTGTGGTATGGACTGTCACTCTACATAGCTAAGAAACCTGAAGCATTCTTCACAGATGGCTGTCACTACATCTTTGCCCACCTCCATCCCGCCGAGGTGCTGGGAAGTGCACAGCCCTTGCTCCCTGCCCTCCAACTGTCCTGAGGCCGCTGCTTTCCATTGTCCAGTTCAGCATTAGCTGAGGAGGAGCGTGCTCTGACACTCACAGCAGCTGGGCCCAAGCTCCATGGCAGACAGAATCTGCATCCTCCGGAGTTTACTTTCTACAGGGGAGGCTTCTGGGCAAACCCAATCCCAAGACAGTGACACTGTCACCTGGTAGTGCCACGGTAGATCCCAGACCAAACACAGAATCCAAATTTGGAGACTCAGGATAGGTTTTCTGGAAGAGATATGCTTCTGAATGGACCCAGCAGGCAGGGGAGCTAGCCTGCTGAAGGGAGGGTGGAGGGAGGCCTGGGGAGAGGATGGGCACGCTCAGCTGAAGAGACTGGGAGAACCCAGGGGAGGGGATCTGTGCTGCCTCGGGGTCAGCTGGCCATGTCATCCCAGGTCAATGAGAAGTCACAGGAGGGCTTTCGATGGGAAGCAGAGCAGCACAATTTGGCTTTGGAAGTCCCCATGGCCAGTGAGTGCACCAGTGCTTGGGAGTCGCCGGGCTGGGGAATAGCAGCCCATCTGGTGCTGTTTCCTGCAGTGGACCCGGGGCTCCAAGCAGTGGTATTTTGTGCTCCAAGCCTTTCAGTGCCTTCCAAGCCTTTCCACAGCCTATCACCAGTCAGTTCGCAGTGGAGCCTGCCAGACAGAACTTCAGTGTCTTCTGTGCCCTTCGGGTGCAGCGGAAGTGACTTGTCAGGTTCTTGCCAAAGGCCCATGAGCAGAACATTTTCTTCCAGTTCTTGGTATTTGTTTGGACTGGGAGAAGTTCTTTGTTTTGTGCAGTAGATTCTAAGTACAGAAACTTCACTGACAGAAAAGGTCAGATGATTTTTTTAACGTTACAGTAAGAAGCTTTGTAAGAGCGATATTCAAGTTATGAAATTAAATTAGAATAAGCTGATTATCTTGTCTTTCAAATATTGAATCCATTTACTATTTCAATAAGATCTCCTATCTTGGCCATTCATGAGTCTTTGTTTGTTTGTTTGTTTTCAGACAAGGTCTTGTTATGTAGTTCAGGCTGGCCTCGAACTCACTGTGATCCACCTGCCTCAGCTTCCCAAGTACTGGGATTACAGGAGTGCACCACCATGCCCCGCCCATTAGTCTTTTTTGTTGGAGAAGAGGCAAATGATCTAGAGCAGGAATTGGCAAACTTTTCTGGAGAGGACCAAATAGTAAATATTTTAGGATTTTTAGGCTGTCCAAACTGCTGTATCTACTTGTCTCTGCCCAAATACCCATATGGTACAAAGCCGAAACCTTAAGAGAACCAGTGGGTGTAGCTATCTGCTTTTTTTGTTGTTGTTTTTTGGGGTACTGGAAATCGACCTTGGGACCTTGCACTTGCAAGGCTGGAGCAGTGCTCTTGAGTTAAATGCCTGGCCTTTCTAACACTTTATTGATGGACACCAAAGATTGAATTTCATGCAATTTTTACCTGTCAAAAAATATTATTCTTGACTTTTTTCATGATTTTAAAACAGGAAAACCGTTCTTGGCCTACGGCGCCATATAAAAACAGGTGAAGGGACCATATTTGGCTTTAGGACCTTGTTCCAGTGGGCAGGTGTTCCTGCTTACTTTAGAAACCTCCAGCCAACACAGCTGGTCCCCAGTACTCTCCACGTTTCATTACGCTTTTGCAGTTCTTGTCAGCCTGTATGTAACAGACATTGCCACATGCATTCAGCAGGAGGCACTGAGTGAGACATGCCAGCCCCGAGCTTTAGAAGTCTTAGGACATGTTAACTTCAGCAGAGTGGACATAGGAAGAGGGAGGGTGTTGAGGCATCTCCACAGATCCTGTGGGTCTTCGAGGACACCTAGATGGAGGGGAGGGGAGGGAGCCTGCGCAGAGGGCGAGGCTGAGGAGGGTGTTGAGGTGTTGACTGGCTGTCTGTCTTGGAGGGCCCAGGAAGGCAGAGTTGCTTTATGAGTGGGCCGAGCAAGACAGTGTGGTGCCTGTCATCTAGGCTTCCAGCCCTGGATCCATGCAGTCACAGTAGGATTTTCTGTTCACATGGGTCTCCTGCCGCAGATCACAGATATTTATTCTGGGCCCTAGCAAATGGTAGAACACCGAGGTTCCTGTGTGATGTATGGGGCGGAGGTGCACTTCTGCCTCCCTCCTCCTCTTCTGAGTTTTCTCAGTTGCACGGATCCCAGTAAAGCTCCTGGGTGTGGAGAAGATTGGCTTTCCTCTTGGGTGGTGGGACAAGCAACAGGACATTCGTGTGTATTTCTCCTTTGGAGCCTGAGCTAGAGCCAGACAGACTGGTTTTGAGTCCTGGATCCTCTATCTCCTCACTGGTGACTGAGATGGGCCATCTTTCTCTGTGCCTCAGTTTCCACCTTGGTAAAATGGGGTAACAGAAAGAATGAAGGCGTGCCTTGGGCTTGGACTAGTGCATCCCTTGACACCATGGAGGTTGATGTGGCCACTACAGGGCAGCCTGTGAAGGTCTCTGGGAGCTGAGAGGGGGTTGCCTCTGGTTTGCTGCTGGTTTCTCCTTCAGCCTGGTGTGAGGGTGCCTCCGAGCACAACGCTGCTGCCATAACCTGCTGTCCCGGCTTGGCTTCCGGTGTAACCAGAGCATGTTTGCTGTCCTCAGGAATGTGCTGATGCCACCTCCCCAGCTCTGTCCCTGGTGGAACTGAGGACGTCGTGCAGCGAGAGCGAGCTGGCCGCAGAGTTTGCTGGCGCCATCCGCAGGTAAGCAGCTCACCATGGCCTCGTGTGACTCACCCAGGGATGAAGGCTTCGTTCTCTGTTCTCGTGGCTGCTCATGCCGGTGCTGCTCTGTTCCCCTCTTGCTCTTGTCTGGGAGGCCCAGAGCTGTTGTGCCATCCTTCCTGATAGGAGCCTGGTAGGGTATGGGAGGGAGGCATAGAGGCGGTCATTCCGCCCGGAAGCTTCAGAGCAGTGTGCGCTGATGATGAGAGCAGGCACCCTGCCCTGATGCCCCTTTGGCAGGACCACTTTCCTTTAGCACAGTGGCCCTTTTCTAATGAGAGGCTCTGCATTTACTCCACCCTGTGAAATTTTCCTTATTCTGGGTTTCTTCTCCATTACATCTCTTCCTTTGCGAGGAGAAATGAATGCCAGTTCGTCTAAATCTGCCTTCTGTCCCACACTATCATTCCTTTGCTGTGCCCTCCAGACCAGCACAGTCTAGTAGAAGTGCGAGGTGAAACACCTGTGTAATTTTAAATTTTCTAGTAGCTCTTTTAAATATTCTAGTGTGCTCTTGGCACACATAGATGGAAAGCGTACATGGGCCAGTTCCAATGCTAAAGTAAGTTTATTACAGCAAACAAGCAAATAAGTCTGCCCCACAGACAGCCCCATGGCACAGTGGAGGCCCAAAGGACCGTCTTTAATTATGTGTGGATGCGTGCAGCGGGCGTGGGCCCCTGGCCAGGGTGGAGCACAGTTCTTTGCATGGGTCCCCTCGACCTCGGCCACAGACACGCACTCTGCTTCTCTGTTCAGTAACATCTGCTTCCTTTCCCTCTCATCACCCAGAGCACAGCTGCCCCCTTCCTTCCTGTCAGGCAGCAACTTCAAAGGCCTGCTGGTGCCTGCCTCAGTTGTACACCTGGACTCTACAGTCGGATGCAGGCTTCACATCCATCTGTGCAGCTTGTTCACTGTTTGGCCTTACGCAAGTGACTTGACTTAAAGTCTAGTTAACGCTCTACCCCACCTTATGAAAAATACAGGAAGGAAGGGAGGCATGAAGTAGAACAGAATGGGAGGGAAGGGAAGAACTAGGTCAGTTCATTTCAAGGACACATTTTATTTAACCCATGTGCCCAAAATGTCATTTCAGTTTGATACTTTCTTTTTTTTCTTTTTATTGAGTTTATTGGTACAATCTAGGTATACAATACAATTACATTCATCATTGGGATTCTGTACCTTTACATGACAGGTCTTGATTCTCATTTCTTCCCCTTGTCCCTGCCCTCCCTTCACCCCCTCCTCCCCTCCCCATTTACAAACACTTTATTTGCATTTTTTCAGTTTCTCATATTTTTTTCCTCTCCCTTATTACCTCTCCCCCACCCTTCCCACTTTCCCTACACCTTTAGCCCTTTACTTCCTATTTCACATTGTTAATTGTCTCATTAGGATCCTGTGTACTATTATAGTTTTTCACACCAAAGAAACTATTCGATATTTCAGTTAAAGAAATCTCTGTATGAACATTAAAAATGGGGAATCCTAAAATAAAACTAAAAAGGAAAGTAAAAGAGAAAAGGCAATGATGTAACATTAAAATAATCCTTAATTCTGGAGATGAAAATGGTCCCTGAACATATTTAAATTGCTTCTCGCTCTTATAGTCTTATCTTATTCTTTTTTTCATTATTTAGAGAATACTTTATTAGTTTCTGTAATCAAACCCACATAGATATGACGTTATATATTTAGTACAATGTGTTACCCCTGTACACATGGAAAAAAAATTAAAAATAAAAATAAAAATAAATTAACATTTCTAGACCAATATGGCTGTCCATTTCTGTACAATGCCAACTCAACACAGTAAATTGGGTTGACTTTTTCCAAAGTTGGCAGCACCATTAAAGTTTCCCAAAATTCAATTTATATGTATATGTATATATATATATATTATTTATTTATATAAAAAGACCAATAATAGCTGTATGTTATGCATCAATAGCAGCAACAGCTTTTCCAGGTTCTACAGTCATCTGAACAAAATTATAGACATTCAGCATATTCCATTAAAAAAAAAAAACCAAAGAAAAGAATAATATCCAGAAAACAGCAAAGTTCTGTTGCTGTTGTGGAACCTGGCACCATTTTTTCTATTAGCCTCTTAATTATCATCTGGAAAGAGAACATTCTAGAGTAATATCCTTAAATGTAGCTCTGATAAAGCACGGTCCATACTATGTATCATAAAGCAGGTACTAGATATTTTACATTCATAGAGGTATGATACATTACTGTCCTACATCAATAATACTAGATTCAGTTTTGGTTTGAAATTTGCTTTGTCTGCAAATAAGATTGCTACCCCTGTTTTTTTCTGGGCTCCTGTCACATGGAGAATTGTTTTCTATCTTTTCACTTTTGCTCTATGGGCTTCTTTTTTGCACTAGGTGTGTTTCTTGTATACAACATATTGTTGGATTTTGCTTCTTATTCCATTTTGCCAGTCTGTTTCTCTTGATTGGTGAGTTGAGGCCATTGACATTGCTGGTTATAACTGATGGCTGAATCCCCTGACGCTGACTGACCTCGAGCTGCAAGGCCCAGATTGAGTTCCCCATCCTTCTGAATGGTTGAACTCCGCAATGTTCTATAACAGGTTTCCCATGCCCTTTCTTTAAAGATGTTCAAAATTGGGAACTCAGAAAAATACCCTTGATGACCACCTCTGTCTTTGCAGAGTGGGTCCAAAGACGGGCACAGTCAGGAGGCCTGAGAGTGTGGGGGGGGTGGGCTTATGGGGGTTCAGGGGCGCTACCTTCCTGGCGCTTGAGCAATGGCTGCTGGGTTGGGAGCAGGCGTGGCTCTCCTTCCCGCGGTGGATCGGGGCCCAGGCTTCCTCCCGGCGCTTCCAGTTTGATACTTTTTTACACCTGCATTTGGTCCCATGTGCAGAGCAGCCACCGATTCAAGCACTCATATCTGCACTGGCGATTGGCTTCTCTGTAAGATAGTTGCAGTTCAAGAGATTCTTTTTGTTTCTTTGTATGATTTTTAATTGCCACAGAGTAACTGGCATTTCATAAAGAGATTGATCATTCAGCCACTATTTCAGTTTCTCTCCCTCCCTTCCTCCCTCCCTTCCACACCTCTCCCTGCCCCCCACCCCAGGGATTGCTCTCCAGGGCACTGTACTGCTGACCTGTAGCTCCAGTCCTTTTTGTTTTATGTTTGGAGATAGGGACCCACCAGGTTGCCCCTGCTGGCTCGCAACTTGCAGTGCTCCTGCCTCTTCCTCGCGAGTGATGGATTATACATGTGCTCTCACCTTATATGGCTTGAGGTTTTTTAATTTTTCATGATGAAATGATGTCCTTTTAAGGGATATTTATTATTCTTGTTCTTAAATACTATTTTATCTGCCATATGAACTCTGATTTATCCTACGTAAATTCTTTCTATCTTGAATTGTAGGGCTGTTTCTCAGTATTGGCTTTCTAAAACTTCTGTTCTGGCTTTTGTGTTTATCCCTGTTTTTAAGATTCCCAGGGGGCTTGTGTGTGAGCACTGTGTTTATCCCCGGCCTTCCTCCCAACTCCTGGGCCAGGTCACAGGCAGTGCTGGTGGCTAGTGTTACCAGAAGCTCCTCTTTTGGGCTTATTTATTCCTTCTAGCTGCTAACCACTATCAAGTGTCCATATCTGACCCAGCATCTGGTCCCCTCCTGTTCAGACAGGCAGGACTTCTAATCAGAGAACCTGTGACCTCCCTTCTTCCTTTGACAGCAGCTACTATCAGTGTGCATTTTTTTTGGATTTTTTTGTTGTTGTTATTATCATCAGGAATCGAACTCAGAACCTTGTATTTAAACAAGGCAGGCACGGCACCACTGAGCTAAATCCTTGGCCCTCTGCGTGCATTCTGAGTTGTTTCCTCTTTCAGAAAGAATAAAACTGCCTTTCACAGTTTATAAAAGAAAAGTGTACAAAGTATACAAAGAACAAAACTGCCTTTCGTGGTTTCTAGTATACAAATCGCTCCTTGCTTTCTAAGGAGCTCGCAGTTTTTATCTTTCTCATTACTTCTGGGGATTTGGGGTGGGAGCGGAAGGCTCCAGTGTACTCTGTCAGCCGACTTGGTCTGGCCAGAACTGTTTATTTTATAGCAAGGCCTCCCAGCTAACAGTGGATTGCAGGCTGTAGGGGTGAGCTTCACTACCTTCCTGATTTACTCACTATCATTTTTTGTCTTTCCTTCCAGCTTGTAATAGCTTTGCTTTTACTTTGCCAACACCCCTGGCTACGTGGTTAGCTTGCAGTCCCTCTGCTTAGGGCAGGAAGAGAGAAGCAGTACAGGAAAATGCCCTGAACAAATCCATTGATGCCTGTGCCAGAGGCCTGGGACGAAAATCCACATTCTCCGGTTCCAACAGGGAGCCATTTGGATATTATATCTGTAAGCTAAGACCCTAAATTTTCAAACTTCCCAAGCCTCCGATGACTTTGCTGGCACAGTAGAATGCAGGTTGTGCTGGCTGAACAAAGAGGTTTCATTTATTCTTTCAGTCACAGTGGATTTCCAATACCAGCCTTAAGGTGGGTGGCATGGATTTCTAATCAAAACCCAGATAGGTGGAGTCAAGAAAGAACCCACAGAGCTAGAGAAAAAAAGAATTATGCAGTAAATATATTTTAGAAGTTGGAATAATCATTTCACGAGGGTATATACTATAGGCACCTGAGGGTTAAGGTTTAGGGACGTTTTTTTCTTTTTAAAACTCACATGAAAGGTCGCACCTTTTTTGGCGGCATTGATTAACTTTGAGGCCAGTAACTGAGATGACTTAGTATTGTCAGAAGTATTCTTCCCTTCAAAAGGGCCCCAGAGTTGTGGGAGTAGGCTCTAGATTGAGAAGAGCAGGGGCAGGAAAGAAAAAGAAATGAAGTTAAGCAACAGTCCTTCTCTGAGAACCGGTCATGCCGTGGAAGGTGTCCAGTGACACTCTGGTCACCATTTCTGCGTTGCTG